TTTTACTTGGCTTGTATCCCTTATAGCTGTGCATTTCAAACTTTGGGTCACTCCTTATAAGTGGCTGTGAAATAAAATTACTGGGAATTGACCAATATTTTATTTTAAGCGAAATAGAAGAGAATAGAAAAAATTCGAATTCATTGCAGGTACCAAGGATAAGCATTATTTCATGACAGTTTTGTTTCATTTATATTTGCATGTGTGGCTGGGGCTACTTAGAGCATATAGCAACACTTTGCTATTTGTCAGTGTTGAATAGTTGTTGATTAAATGTATTTAAATGTGTAACCCCAGGTGCCAAGATACAAGGTGGTGTGGGAAGAAGTAGGCTTTTAGGAGAGATTTGGGACACGTGAGTTTGAATCTCGGCTCTATCAATTACTAGGTGTTTGACTTTTTGCATGTTACTTTGTCATTCTCTGTGAGAACTGAGTGAAATAATGCATTGAAGATGCATCATATTTTCAAGTTTGTAATAGGTCTTGAATAATTAGGCCTTTTTTTTTTTCACAAGATAATTATACCCATCTTTTAGGGCTGTTATAAAGACTTAAATGGGATAATGGTGTGTAGAAATAGCAGCTATCACATAGTAGGGCACTAATAAAGCGTTGCAGTTATTAAAATAGTGCATTCATTATAATCGATGTCTCTTATCTCTCTCTATATGTTAGAATGGTGGTTTGTATATAGCACTAGCGCAGTACTTCAGTAAGTGCTTCATAAGTCTGAATGAGTGCAGGTATGAATGAACTCATGAATGGTTCAGAAGTAAAGAGATATTTGGCAGGTTTAAGGTAGTGCCAGAGAGAATGGAAAGGTGGATTTAGAGGCATTTGATAAGAGGCATTTCACAGAAAGAATGAACAGGACTTAGAGACCGACAGTATTGGGGGCAGTGTGAGGACTTGTTTGTGCTTCTAGGATTTCAAGTCTGATTGATGCTGTTGCATCACTGATAGAAAAGGAGCAGTTTTTGGGGCCGGCCGGCCGAGTGGCGCGATGGTTAAGAACTCGCTTGGGATGCCAGAGGGCCCCGGTTCGGATCCCACATATGAGGGCCAGTGACACTGCCCTCCACAGCTAAGATGCTGAACAACAGTTCAACCTGGAACTGGGCTGCCGTGAGTCGCTGGCAACGGCGTAGGCTGCAGTCCCTGTGGCAGTGGGTTGCCATGGGCTACCGTGTGTAGCCAGCAGCCAGCGTGAGCGGCCAGCAGCCGGCGTGAGCGGCCAGCAGCCGGCGTGAGCGGCCAGCAGCCGCAGTGAGCGGCCAGCAGCCGC